AGTGGGGAGACAATTGCTCTTATCCTGTTATAGTGGTGTGCTGGAATTCCCTGAGATGGAACTGGTAAATTACTTGACTGCTGCGAGTTTTCTTCAGATGAGCCACATTGTAGAACGGTGCACACAGGCCTTGTGGAAGTTTATAAAGCCAAAACAACCACTGGATAGTAAAGAGGGATGTGAACCACAGAGTGCTTCTCCCCAGTCAAAAGAACAGCAGGGAGATGCCAGAGGCTCCCCAAAGCAGGACTCACCTTGTATTCATCCATCTGAAGACAGTATGGATATGGAGGACAGTGATATTCAGATTGTTAAGGTAGAATCTATTGGGGATGTATCAGAGGTTAGAAGTAAAAAAGATCAGAACCAGTTTATTTCTTCTGAACCCACTGCTTTACATTCATCAGAGCCCCAGCACTCCCTGATAAATTCAACTGTGGAAAACAGAGTAAGTGAAATAGAACAAAACCATCTCCACAATTATGCCCTCTCTTACACAGGCAGTGATAACATCGTCTTGGCCTCAAAAGATGTCTTTGGGCCTAATATTCGAGGTGTAGACAAAGGCCTACAGTGGCATCATCAATGCCCAAAGTGTACCAGGGTGTTCCGTCACCTGGAGAACTACGCCAACCATTTAAAAATGCACAAACTCTTTATGTGTCTACTCTGCGGCAAGACTTTTACTCAGAAAGGCAACCTTCATCGACACATGCGTGTGCATGCCGGCATTAAACCTTTCCAGTGTAAGATCTGTGGGAAAACCTTTTCTCAGAAGTGTTCCTTACAGGATCATCTTAACCTTCACAGTGGAGATAAGCCCCATAAGTGTAACTATTGTGACATGGTTTTTGCACATAAGCCAGTTTTGAGGAAACACCTTAAACAGCTGCATGGCAAAAACAGCTTTGATAATGCCAATGAGAGAAATGTGCAAGACCTCACAGTGGATTTTGATTCTTTTGCATGTACAACAGTTACAGACTCGAAAGGGTGTCAGCCACAGCCTGATGCAACACAGGTCCTGGATGCAGGTAAACTGGCCCAAGCTGTCCTGAACCTAAGGAATGATAGTACTTGTGTGAACTGAGTAGGGGCTTTATGCTCAAAACTAGAAGTGACTGAAAACGTGGCAATAGTCTTGAGTGTTTTTAGAAGAGATTTTGCTAGCTTGACTTCTCCAAAGCCTCTGTGCAGGTTGTAGAATGAATCAAAGTACTAACAGACCAGGCAACTTACCACTTGGAGTGGTCTTGCCTTCCTTTTGCCCTCTCCCATTTTCTGTTTTGAATTATCTTGTGATGCCTGTCTTCCTTTCCCAAGGAATATTCCATTTGTCTACCTAACATTGACTTATGTTTTAGACTGACACATTTTAGGCTTTTCACTGGACACATTCGGAAGGCACCAACAAGTTAATAACATCACCTGCAATCCACTAATGGATGCTATGCTAAGAGAAGTGAATAATATTTTTCTTTGGCAGAAAATAGGCTAAGATATAAAGTGATATTGCTATTGGCCTGACTATATGATAGAACTTCTGGTTGCCTACTTATAATTCATCTATGAATGAATGACTCCCTACCGTTAGTACTTTTCTTGGAACTGGCTATAAAGAAGTATTTTAAGTTGTTCAGCACTCTTTTCAACAGCATTATGGCCCCCAACTTTATGTCACGGAATTGTTCACATAGACCAGAGTACAATCTTTCTGGCAACACCTGCAGGCATAGTTAGGTATCACCATGAGGAGCATAATCAACAAAGAATAGAAGTACCTTCGTACAACAATTTAACATGAGATGTCTTCCTCAAAAGAAGCCAAACCTTATTCATGTGTAACTTATTGATGCTTTTTAAGTCAGGATGCTCTAAGCATACTTAAAATGTGCTGAAGTGTAATAGTCTCTCTAAAAAGAAGCTATTTAGGAGTCAGTCTTTGGACTCTGCTTTACAAGTTAGCTATCAGAGAGGTGTTTAGCCATCAGAACGGTGTTTGGGCTTCAGAGTTTTGTTCAGTGTATTCTAAGAGTCTCTGAATTCTCATTTTCTCATGCACCCTAATTTCTAAAATGGATGAAAAAAATGGTTCGTGGAATGAGCAACCAGGCTGTTGCATTCAGATATTCCGATAGCCCCACCTTGCTATGTTTGATAGATCGCTAATACAAAGTTGATCTTCCAAGTATGGTAAAACAGAACAACTGTGTGTTGTAGTTCAGAAATAAAATTTTGAGTCTTATTAGTTTTTGACCCATGAGTTAGACATAGGTAATAGAAGTGTTAGAGTCCTTAGAGAGTCTTAAGAGATAATTTACTCCACCTCTCTTTTTTTTTTTTTAAGTTGGGGTATTAATAGCCCAAAGAGGTGGCCTGGCCAAGGTTGGCCAAATAAGATAAGTGACTAAATATGAGCTAATGTCTCCTCATTTTTTCTCACTATCCCTTGGCTTAAAAAGATCTAGTACATAATCAAGAATACATTAGCAAAAAGCTCACCTTTGTGAATCCCTATTGGCTTTCTAAGACAGCCTGGATTTTGCAAACAAAATATCACAGGAGGATTTATTTTTGTTATTTTTTAGTTAGAATAAATATTACATTCTTCCCAAGCAAGTGACTGATTTGCTGGGTATTAGAGAGGGAAAGGACAAATAAGAATAAATGTGAGAAGGATCTAAATGTGAAACTGATTTTGTCTGGAAACAGTGTTTATTTAATTTCCATCAAGATTTTGTTTTCATGTTTGAGCTATGAGAGTGCATATACCGATAAACCAAAAATTAGGTTTAACTTGAGTAGTCAGGGAATTCTTAAAGTTGTTATAATTTGATACATTTACATGTGAATCTGACTTGAGGTATTATTTCTACCTTTTGTTAAAAGATTTAAAATGAGAATAAAATTGAGTGATAAGACAGGTATCTTATGCCTAAGGTCACTCATTATATGGTCTAATGATGCTACCAAGCATTCCAGTTTTTATGTGACCCAGGCAGAGTACCAGTTCTCTGCAACAGTGTGACATTGCCATGTTAACCAACAAGTCACTATTTCCTTTGAACATCATTTTGTCATGGAAATTTCATGTTGGAGTGCTTCCTTTGTTTATATTCATGTCCTGTTTTTCTTACTGGTTTGAAGACTAAAAGTCATGGGTTCAAAATAGATTGCTCTCTTTGGTTGGAGACTATTGCTGGGTTCATCTAGTCATTCAAGAATCATTTATTGAGCACCTACTGTTGCCAGGCACTATGCTAGATGATGAGGATATGAAGGTAAGATTGCAATGATCCCTGCTCTCACAGATCTTACAGTTTCGTGTAGTCTTAGGGAGCTAAGATATCAATTTGATTTTAAACTAAGAGTAATAAAGGAAACTGCCTTGATTTTTTTGATCACTTAAAGTCAGCATCTAGATAGTTTTGTATCTGTAAAAGCTATAGTTCTCACCTTTTGTACTGCAAACCTCTTGGCTGGGGCGGTGTTCCGTTTCTGTGACACATTTTCTTAATTTTGGTGGGATTTTACTTTTCTCCTTCTTTGCTTATACATGTTTCTTAGATTGTATTGCAAAGTGGTCAAATTATTGATATCAAGTAAGTTTTATAGAGGAAGATTTTTAAAAACATTAGTTATTCAGCATTTGTATTTTATGGATCCCCAGGAAAACTAAAAAGGGGAGAACACTCTTTACCGTAGTTGGTTTAAAAAAGATACTGTATCACAGTTATTTATTTATTATTTAATTTTAAAGACAAACTCCAAACCGAAGCAGCTCTGAGGTAAATCAGATGTGGTTTTAATTTGTTTTAGTTTCTTTTTTAGAAAATCTGTAAGTGGAGGGTGACCAGTGTCACTACTTTTAAATATTGTCCTAAAAAAACAACCTAGAACATTTTATTTCAGCTGGTGAATAGCTGTTTTAAACCTGTTGTATGTTAGACATACTATGAACTACCTCTTCACTTATTATGGGGAAGTTTCCTTAATAAAAGTGTGACAATTAAAGCTCTGGTGTGAGTAGTTTGTTTTTTCTCCCCTCCTTTCCTTTTCAATTGCTTGAATTTGAATACAGGAATACTTCATTCCTATTCTTTAAAACATATTAATAAAATATGCTGAGCTTGGCTTCAGAACCAAATATGAGTTAACCAGAAATTGTTTCTAGGGTCAGTTACTTAAATGAGAGCCTGTTGACTAAGGGGTAAAGCAACTGCTTTTAAGAGCTGGTTCAGAAATTCCTTCATTTGGCAAATACTTGGATGCCTACTGAGTGCTAGTCTTGGGGAATGTAAAGATCGGTAAGGCACTGCCCCAAGTACCTCTGCTTAGATGGGACGCAGATTTCAATACAGGAATGATGATTGCAATAATGAAGGCAGCCAAAGGGTTGGCTTGTCAGGCTCCCAACGAGGAGCCAGCTAATCCAAGGCAGCTCCTGGTGGCCTTAAGGATGAGGGGATTTTGAAGGGTAAGTGGGAGGCGGGATTGGGCATATGGGAGGAAACAGTAGATGAGAGGCTTGGGTTTGCCCAAAAACGTGGGGCGGGGCGGGGGGTGAAGGTCAGAAGGAAGCGATAGAGTAAAGGAAGAGAGATCCAGAGGTTGGGGCCAGATCCTGATGGCGCATTAGCTAGGCAATCTCGGATACTGATCCCCATGGCAGTCTCCTCTCCTTCCTCCGTCACCTTTTAAATTGAAGGCGGCCCAGTAAAAGGAGAGGACCTGGCCATAATCCGCGAGGGCCTCCCGGTGGTCCCGGCGCTGGGTATTCTGATGGACGCACTGTACCCCAACTTCACAAGCCTCCTGCGAGTCGGAGGCTGGGGAGAACTCAGAAGGGGAATTGGCTCCCGTACTGATCAGGGACAGGAGAAATGGGATTTACCGGCACTGGGCGTCTTTCTGTCATTCCGCAGGGGTGGGGGAGTGAGGAATGGAGGATGTCTCAGAATGTCCTTCCGGTATGCTCAGCCCGCCCCCTGCGGGGTCAAGGTGGTTGACACCGGATGTATTTCCTTCCAGACTAAGCCCACCTTCCGGTCCGGGTGCTTCGCTGAGGAAACGTCGGTTCTGGTTTTCCGAGTGGGTGAGTGAGCGCCAGGGAGACGCGACGGGTGGGGAAGCCCCACGAGGAGGAGGAGGAGTCGGGCAGCTGGGTGCTGCCCGGCGGTGGCTGGGCTGGTCCTGTCACCACCTGGTCGACAGGGCCTTGGTCCTGGTGGGCTTGGCTCAGGAAGACCGGTGGCAAGCTGGCGGCTCTTCCCGGCCACGGGGAACCCCGGTTCAATTCCGCAGACGTTCCCTAAGCTCTTCCTGCTCTGTGCCGGTCCCCGGCGTTCGCTGCAGGAACTCGGCTGAACGAGGCGCTGTTTCGTGATGCTCTGAGGGCAACCGACTCTTAAGGGGGAGACAGGAGGCGTCTAGGAAGCCTTACTTGATTTAGGCCTTAAAGGAGCCAAATCGCTGGCTGGAAAAAGTAACTGGAGCGTAACACGTGCAAAGGTGCATTCGGGGGTCTTCTTGCCTGGGCAATGGTGAAAATATGAATATCAAAGAGACTTCCATGAAAAAGAGTGGAGAAAAGATAAAGCTATAAAGGTGCTTAAGGTCCAATCATGAGTGACCTTTTATTTGCTAAAAAGGTTAGGATGTCCCGTAGGTAGAGGACAGCTGGAGACGGGGCGGGGGGAGAAAAGTTTTAAAAGATGTCAATTTGCCCTAGCCAGTTTGGCTTAATGGATGGCGCATTGCCCTGCGGACTGAAGGGTCCCGGGTTCAATTCCGGTGGAGGGCACATGCCCAGGTTGTAGGAGGCAGCCAATCAGTGATTCTCTCTCCTCATTGATGTTTCTATCTTTTTCTCCCTCTCCCTTCCTCTCTGAAATCAATAAAAATATTTTTAAAAAAATAAATAAAAGATGTCAATTTTGGTGGCACTCAGTAGGGTAGTTTGGAATATCAGAGACTGGTATCAAGGAGAACTTTTGGAAGACATGGCAGTGGTCCAGGTGAACAGAATAAAGACCTGCAGTAGTGATGGGGAGTCTAAAGTTTGGAGATTACGTTAAGGTTTCTAATTTGGGAAACTTACAGCCATTTAGTAGTGGCATTAACTATACAAGGCACATAAATTTAGCCAAGGAGAAAAATACAGAAACTGTTAACTACAATTCAATATAATATAAATGCTGTAACAAAAATGTAAAAAATGTGCCACAAGATCAGAGAGAAATGCGTTTTAATTTTTTTGGATTTTGAGGTTTAATTTTCTGAAGTTTATTCTTAGCACCCAGATTAAAATTTGAGTATTCTTTTACCCAGTTCAGGTTTGGGATTTTAAAATTCTGTTTGTTTTTACTAGCACAGTGTAGGAAAGCATTCCTTATCCTTACAGCAATGTTTGTATTATATTTTGCTTAGATTTTGACCATGGCTGCGGAGTCTGATGTTCTGCACTTCCAGTTCGAACAGCAAGGAGATGCAGTCTTGCAGAAAATGAATCTCTTGAGACAGCAGAATTTATTTTGTGATGTATCAATTTATATTAATGACACTGAGTTCCAGGGGCACAAGGTGATATTTGCTGCTTGCTCCACTTTCATGAGAGATCAGTTTTTACTCACACAGTCAAAACATGTCAGAATTACCATCTTGCAGAGTGCAGAAGTTGGCAGAAAATTGTTGCTCTCTTGCTATACTGGAGCACTTGAAGTGAAAAGGAAAGAGCTTTTGAAATACTTGACTGCTGCTAGTTACCTTCAGATGGTTCACATTGTGGAAAAGTGCACAGAAGCTTTGTCAGGATACCTGGAAATTGACCTTTCTATGAAAAACAACAATCAACATACCGACCTGTGTCAATCCTCTAACCCAGATGTTAAAAATGAGGAAGAAAATGCAGATAAGGACTGTGAGATCATCGAAATTTCAGAAGATAGTCCTGTAAACATAGATTTCCACGTTAAAGAAGAGGAAAGCAATGTGTTGCAGTCTACAGTAGAGAGCTTGACGTCAGAGAGACAGGAAATGAAGTCACCAGAGCTGTCTTCAGTTGATATAGGTTTTAAAGACAATGAAATTTGTATCCTCCGTGTGGAATCTATAAATACCGATGGTGTAGAAAATGGGCAGTTTTCACAGCCTTGTACCTCTTCAAAAGCAAGCATGTATTTCTCTGAAACACAGCATTCACTGATCAATTCTACGGTTGAGAGCAGGGTGGCAGAAGTTCCTGGGAACCAAGATCAGGGCTCATTTTGTGGGAATACTGAAGGAAGTCATGGAACAGCAAATGAGATTCAGAACCTGGAAGATATTTATTCACTGAGGCACCAGTGCCCCAGGTGTCCACGAGGATTTCTTCATGTTGAAAATTATCTGCGCCACCTTAAGATGCATAAACTGTTCTTGTGCCTACAGTGTGGGAAAACATTTACACAGAAGAAAAATCTCAACCGGCACATTCGAGGGCACATGGGCATACGGCCCTTTCAGTGTACTGTGTGCTTGAAGACATTTACCGCTAAAAGCACGTTGCAGGACCACTTGAACATACATAGTGGGGATCGGCCATACAAATGCCAGTGTTGTGACATGGATTTCAAGCACAAATCTGCCCTGAAAAAGCATGTGACCTCTGTGCATGGCCGGAGCAGTGGTGAAAAAAATACCTATTCATGATCTCAAAAAACAAAATCTATTATAAGTAGAATCACACCTTGCTATGGAAGTTATGTTAGGCAAGTCTTTCTGTAGAAATGCAACATTTGTAATACTGTTTTCCTCCTCATCTTTGGGTCTTATTTTTGGTCTGCCTGTACAGTATTCTTTCTGAACTTAAACTAAGAGTTCCAAAGTGTGGGAGACATGATAAAGCTGATGGAATGCTATCTCACATCTTGTGTTATATAAGTCCCAGTTGTATACCTAGAGAAATACTGTTCTTTTAAATATTATTGAGTCTAATGACAGCGGATCCAGCAGAATTTCCATATTCAGATTTTGAGTATCTATGTAGTTGATGGAAGTATAAAATAACCTAGCCATGTAATAACTTTAATGAGTTAAGATAATGGAAAGATAAAATTTAAAACATCCTATTATCCATTATTAGTCACTTTAAAATCAGATAGGACTAATAAATTTTTTAACCTACTGCTTTTGGATTGCAAACTAAACACCAAGGTACCTGTTGTTATAAAATGTAAAAGAACATAATTCATATTCACTTGGGAATAGCAGAATTTCCTTATACCTTTCTTAAAATACTATTTCCATGGTTTGTTAATATACGTATTTTATAAATTATTCATTAGGCCCAAATGTCTTGATTTTATTTAATGCAGTGGCATCTAATAATTTTGTGGCTAGTAAAAACATACCATTGGTTTGAAGCTCTAAAAAATTACTTTTAGAAATCCCAACTTAACCAAAGGTATTTGTTACACCTTTTTTGTTGTTGTTGTTAAATATATTTTTGTTGATTTCAGAGAGGAATGGAGAGGGAGAAAGAGTCATCGATCAGCTGCCTCCTGCACATCCCATACTGGGGATCAAGCCCGCAACCCAGGCATGTGCCCTGACTGGAAATCGAACCGTGACCTCCTGGTTCATAGGTCAACACTCAACCACTGAACTATGTCGGCTGGGCTACCCTTTTATCTTCTAGTTAACATAGTAAAGTTGACCTTTTGTCAATTTTGTATCTAGGTAATAGGAATGGTATGCTCAAAACACTTATAGCAGACATCTCTGATGTCATCAGACAGAGGAACACTTTCCATATCTAGCTCCTTCTCATTTCTCGTTTCCTTTCTCGAATAGTGATCCCCTCTGCTAAATGATTTGTTTTGGTATACAGTTTCATGAATCTTTTTTTTTTAACTTTATTTTATTGATTTTTTTATAGAGAGGAAGGGAGAGGGACAGAGAGTTAGAAACATCCATGAGAGAGAAATATCGATCAGCTGCCTCCTGCACATCCCTTACTGGGGATGTGCCCACAACCAAGGTACATGCCCTTGACCGGAACCGAACCTGGGACTCCTCAGTCCACAGGCCGACGCTCTAGCCACTGAGCCAAACTGGTCAGGGCCAGTTTCATGAATCTTAACACATACAGATTTATGCAACCACCTCTGTAATCAAAATACAGAACATTCTATCACCACCGTTAAACTCCTTTATGCTACCCTTTTGTAGGCAGTTCCTCCTAACTCTACACCCTGCCAATAGTTCTTCATCAGCTTACCTTGCCTTTTCTGGAATGTCAGAAATGGAAGCATAGCATGAGCTCTTTTGAGATGCTTCTTTCACCTAGCATCATGCCCTTTGAGATTCATCCATTTTGTGTTAGTAGTCCATTCCCTTTTCTTTCTGAATTGTCATACATATTAATGTTCTTGTTATCACTAGATAAACAGTTTACAGATGGAAATCTTAGTGTTTTCTTAATTATTAATAGTCATTAACATTAATGCAATTTTTATTTACTATATGTTGACAAAAAGCTTAACTATCTTTAGAGTTTTATGCTATATTTCCAGAAATGTGCCAAAAGCAAAACCATGACCATATGGTTATTTTACTTACAGTAATATTTCAGATTGTGTTATGAGCCATTGCTCTCCAATAGCCTTGTCTACATTTAACACAAAACTTTGTTGTCATAACACAGATTAAAATATATTGCAGGGCAAGTAATATCTTCTAAAAGACAGGAACCACTTTTAGTAAAGAAGCCTGACCGAATGCATCTTACTTTCAAGATGTTCTATTCCTCTTCTACTCACCTCAGCTCTATGTAGCATTTCTGCTATATTTAGTATCAGTTGAAGCCCTTCCATATTTTAATATGTAATATACTTTGTACCATTTATAAGAATTTTGTGATGAATCACATGTTGATTGTTATAACTGTTAATTATCCTTTTTGTGATACTTGTGAAAAATATATTTTCTATAGAATTTTAACTCTGAGAGAGAGTTTAAAGAATCTAGCTCTCATATTTGATAAGAAAGCCAACTTCATGACCCTTCAGGTTAGTATCATTGGACAGGTCATCTCTTCTTGAGCTTCTCTTAAATTTATATGCAAAATAATAACTTTGATCTTGATCACTTATAGATCATTTCCAAGTCTAAAATTCTGTGATTTTATATTTAAATCTTCCAGAGTTCCTAAGAACAGAGAAGAGGGGAAAGCAAAAGAGAGTTTGGTGTCTTTTTGCACTATTTTCTCACTCCATTGGAGACAGAATTTTTCTAAAGCAAATAGTGGTTTTTCTCCCACTGGAGAACATGATAGTGCAGTGCTTAATCGTCTTTCCTGTTTGATCTATGATTGGCCATTTGTAGACATTTTTCTATCAGAGATAGTTTGTGTTTGAAATACTTATTTTTGCTTTTTACGGTAAAATTTAGTTGGGGAGGGATGAAGATGGGGTGGGTGAACAAATAGTAAACTTTTTTGCTATTGTTTTTTATGAATTACCTATCTTTGATGTTAAAAAAGAATTATGGTTGAACTATGTGTAAGTTTTATGTGTGCCTTGTAAGATTCTTGTGAAATTTTTTGTAAGCACTTTGAGATATTTTGCGTGTGGGGAAGGGGTGTTTTGTGAAAGTGATGGTTATTTATTTATTTATTCCTGTTCATTTAGCACAGAGTGATCTCATAACATTTCTAGGTGAATGTCTATTTGCATGATGTGCTTAAACAATTTCTGGAAAAAAATCTTTTTTAAAATGCAGGCATGACAAAGTTAAGTGTTGAATTTATTCATTTCAACATTCACTTTTAGTTGTTTGTTTTTCTATATGATGGGGAAAATGCAAAATGTTTGTCTTAAGCCTCTTCATTTACTGCATTTTTGAATAAAAGATCTTGGAGAGGTAGTTGTTACTTTGGTATAAGAGAAAATCCTTTTTTTTTTCCCTTGGATGTAACTATCATACATGTTTACATAAGAAATAATAAACTGGAGATGGGAATGGAGAGCTTTGTGTTTTGTGTACATCTATGAATTTTGAAGAAGGAAACTATTTCTCCTGGCTATTCATTCATTCAACAAGTACTTATGGAGTGCTTACAATATCTAGAAGTTAAGTATACCAACAAAAATCCCTGCTCTCATGAAACTTAAATTCTAGTGAAGGGAGACAAAACTTGTGAACAAAATTAATGTATGTCAGATTTTGGAAATGGAGAAAATAAAGCAGGGAGTGCAAGGGAAGGGAAATTCTGATTGTAATTTTAAATATAGTGAGTGGTCAGGCCACCTTTGAAAAATCTTTTCAGATCCTGTACAACTATCCTTAAAATGGAAAGCGTACCCACACACCCATCACTATATAGTTGAATGGAAAACTGAACCAAATGAACCATTGTTGGGAACCTATAGGATTGGCATATATTTCATAAATAGAAGAGTATGAAAAGGATAAAAATGTATGGGAGAATAGTCTTTGGTGTGGCCATTGAATTTTTAAAAATTGGTATTTTTTTCGTCTTCCAGGCAGTAATAACCATATTTATTGTTAAGTTCATTATAGTTTATAAACTTTTTCCATATGTCTTATAATTCATGGTGGGTTTGCTTCCATAGAGTCTTTTGTTGGATATCTGGTTTCATATTGGAAAGTGCCTTGAGCTTAATTGCAACTCATGGCCATTTTCTTAATCTGAGTTTTTCAGTTTCTCATCAGGAACGGAATACATAGTATCTGCCTTTTAGGATTATTTTGATGAGTAAATGAAATATAAATGAAAGTAAAAATAGTAAAAATGAAAATTTTATTAACACAGGACCTGGCACATTAGTAAGTTATCCATAAATATTAATTCCAAGCTTATTTCTTCCGATATAAAAACAGAATAATTTATACCTTGCAGTTAACTGTGAAAAAATCCTGCAACAACTATTTATGAAGTTATTAGTGCCAAAATTTGTGCTTGAATTTTGATGCCTGCCAGTTTCTGAGAAACTCAGTTTTCTCGTTAATAAAGAGGTGTGCGTTATTGCCTGCCAAACAAATGCTCTCTTTTTCTTTAATTTTTTAAATCAGGGAGATCGGTTGGCACCTAGAGGGATTGAGGGATGGGGTCAGCATCTGATTGTGGGAGAGTGATAAGACTGTAATACAAATGTATCAGATTAAGTTAAATGAATATCACGATTTTCACTAGCTCAAACCAATGTCCAAGAGGCTGGCTCACAGAGAAGATGAATGTGCTGGGAGTTTCCCATAAGTCCCTTCGGCTTGCCTAGGCATCTTAACAGCACCTCCCACCTTATTCCAGTTTTCCCATGTCACGTGATGAGGGTGGTTCGGCTCCAGCAGAGGGAAGCTAATGCGCGGTGCAGGTGGCTGGAGCTACTACGCTTTCCTTCCACCGCCCTTACTCCCGGTTTTGCGTGATCTCGCGTGATGTGGGGAGTATCTTCTCGCGAGAGTTAGGTCTGGATCCCTCCAGGTCCGCCTCCATGGTGAAGAGGCGGTGGTGGAGGAGGAGGTGGAGGGAGGAGGAGGAGGCCCCGTCGCGGCCTCCGCCGCCGCCAACGGGGCTGTCCCTGTAGCTCCCGATGGAGTTTGAGGTCGTGAAGCCGCCGCCGAGCTCTGCCCCGGCGAGACGAGGCGCCTCTGTCGCCGAGCCGCGCCGCCGCGGGGCTCCCGGGAGCGGCCCTTAGCGACCCCGCCCGGGCCCCCACAGGTAGGGCGGGGGCGGGCACGATGCAGCTTGGGCCCCAGTCCGGGTCCC